AGAGCACGCGCGCGAGGGAGATGCAGAGCCTGCGTCTCCAGCGCTTACGCGCTCTCTCATTGTTCGAATCCTCGCCCTGAAGCCGCCTATCTGGTTGGTTCAGAAGATACCCTCATTTTGCTAATCGAAAATCGTGTGCAGGTCTTTTGACGAATGCCAAGTTGACTAGATGCTATAATACTGAAGGAATTTCAAGTAAAAAAGATCTTGACTCTGGCTTTTTCAGGGCTGAACCTGATGATGTTGAAGCTGCATTTCATGGTAAAACCATAGATGGATGGAAGATTGAGAGCTCCATTGGCAGTGGTGAAAATACATTATCACAAACATTCACATCTCTATGATCAGTAATCAGAATTTAAGGCGCTAATGGAGTAGTACTTCAATGTGAAAAGGGATCAACAAAAGCGGTCATGAAAGTAGCACTATCACCGTATGCAGCTGCAAGTCTTGAATGGGAAAGTTTGGTGATGGACAGGCTTGTTAGTGCCATAACGATTTTTCAATTTGCTTTTAACCCTTGATGGAATGATCTCTCAAAGAGCACTATGTGATTGTAAAAATAACTCACTTTCACGCATCAATAAGTGCAACGGAACGTTGAAAAATCGCTCTTTAGATAGCTAAAGAAAACCCTGAGAACAGGACCCTACATCTTGTGAGAAAACTTGGGAGCGGTTCTACAGAAGTGACTATCGGCGACAAGGTATAGCTGTAGGCAAGCAATTCGATGCACCAAGCAGTCTGATGCAGACGATGAATTTGGCATACGTCGTCATGGAATGCTTACCGGGCAACCCTGTACCGATAATTGGAAACCTACAGGGTGAAGAGCAAACTCTCAAGATTATAGAGTACGGACTCCAGCTGCTAAAAGTATGTTTCAGAACAAAACTGCTTTCCACTTCGTTTCCAATCTCGAATTGATCAAGCGAATACGTTATTGGAAATAACTCATCCTCAAGTCATTTGTAACTTTATGTGTGAGTCTGCACACTATGCGCGGCAACCGACCACATCCTTACTGGTAACTCCTCACTAAAACATATTCTAGCAAAAAAAACTGTGGCAATGTGTACTATACTAATCAATAGATATCCAGTCAATCTCAAAGAGACAAGGAAACAGGGTGGAAGCACTGGAAATGTGGTTCTACTCTTACAAGTCGTCAAGTAGCGCGCATGGTGTGCAATACGCACGCAGATTACAGATGGCTCGAGGTGCTTTGCACTATTCGTAGTATGTAAATATTCAAGGCAATCTTCGACATGCACCAATGTGGATTTATCCATCGAGATATCAAGCCAGAGAATATAGGCATGTACGATGTAAGGTTTACCTTCTAATGTTCAACAATCAGATGCAGATTATACCAAACTCTTAATTCACCAAACCCCTTTGAAACTAAATTTTAACTTCATTGTCAAATAGCATTTTCTGCTAATTCACACAAAATTCTATTTCGGACAGTGAAGTTAAAATTTTTGGCGCTGAGTTCGAAGGGAAAGAATTTTTGCAAATACAAAAAACATCAAGTTGAGAAACCAAAATATTTTAGAAGTAGACAGAAGCCGACTACTCAAATCTATTGTTTCGAGTGCGCCGTCTCTACCTACACGGAACATTTTTGAATGATGTACAGGACGTTCATCGCACGCAGAGATCGGGGGCGCCACTGCGGATTTTGTCGGTGTCTCTCTAATCAAACACACTTCAAACCCTTTTGCCTTCTGCTGTCTCTTACAAACGCGAACTATTTTCGTCTTGCCGAACCGTGTCCAGTCTCAGCGTGCGGGGACCTGCCTAAACTTGTTACCCGTCATACTTTAAAATTTTTCTAGAATAAAATCGTCGTTATGTATGACATGGGTATGGCGAGAGCATATCTGGATGAAGAAGGTATACACAGACCACCGAGATCGCATGCTGGAATGAGGGGCACAGAAGAGTGGAGCAGTCTCAACGCAGAGATTGGCAGGGACCAGGTCAAATTTGAATTTCAAGGCTGTTGCGTTTGCTTATTTTGGAGGTTCAGGGAAGAGTGGACGATCTGTGGGGATATCTTTATTGCCTGAATGAGTGGGTCAACTGCAGAAGTCAGAAACCGCAAGTATGGTCGGCATACGATCGTGAGCCTAATATTCGGTAATGCCCTTGGTTTCCTATCAGTTTCAACTCAACAAAATCGTCCAGGCAATGGATGAAGTCGCCATTTTTCTCAGCTAGAATGGTCCTCAACAACTGCCCATTCTCCTTCTTCAAAATTGGGGTAAGATTAATTCAGTATTGAAATATTCCAGCAATTCAATATGTCTATTCAGTTCTATCTTCGATATCTTGGCCGAGACGACACACCCGACTATTTTTACATAGCATCGCTCTTACACGAAGCAAGCAGAGCTGTGAAAAGAAGGCAAAAGCCGGAGCCAGCCAACATAGAGAAGAATATCGCAGAAATCCATCTGCAGGAAAGAGAATTCTTTTAAATGACTGCCAAAAACAACAACATGTTTCTCAATTACCGCTGGAGTGAATTAGGATTTACTCCTGTACTATGATTTTTAGTACAATATGAAAAAGTAATTTTATTTATGAGTCAAGAACAAAAAAATCTTTCACAGTTTACTCTATTATACAATGAATCAAGCAGAAGGCGTGCCAGTCTAGAACAGTTAACGAAAGCAAACATTAGCATGGGGTGACGCTCCTTGCTTGAGAAATGTCGTGATATTTCTTTCGTTGTAAGGAGATCACATTTCAAACATTTCGTTT